TGATCGTCTATGACACAAAGTGCTGAAACAACCTTTTGTCTGAAATGTGGGATGTTGGCTACAACTTTTTCCTCTTCATTTGTATTTACTCTCCATCACAGTTCGCAATAAAAAGTTTTGGTTTTCCCCAGGAGAAGAAATTCCACTAAATTAAGATAAGGTGCTATGGCAAGACATAGGGGCATCCCATAGGACTAAACCTGAGATGAGAAACTCTCGCCCTCTAAACTCTGTATTCTTCAATCCGGGGCTTGGTCCCGTTTTCAACAAGACGGAGATGTTTTACGCAGTTTTGCCACCACAATGCCCCCGTATCTTGCGATAGCGCCTGAGATGACTCAGGTACTCGTACACACCGGAGCATGAGGTTTCTTTGCAAGTGCACCTGCCTGTGCATAAGAATCGCTAGACATTCTTTTTCCCACTCTCTGGATCCATTAAAATCTACCTTTGCAAAACCCGACATCTTTTATCGAACCTTCTTTCTTCGCATCTTGATCTCTGTTCGACCAGATCTTTTCCCCCTATCCACTTTGATTCCAGCTTCCACTAGACTTTGCTCAGGAAAAACTTGCTTAGAGCGAGCCCGATCAATAATCAATTACATAATGATTTCATTGAATATTCTCCATAATAAAGCACCTCGTTTATTTTTTCGCGACCCACATTCGTTTATCTCTTGCAACACCCTGAAATACTCTACGGTTTCATTTTTTCAGATGCTACTGGCGCTTTTTGCGCTCGTACACGCGGCATCCGCTGCTGTGTCCTCGTTCAACTATGTACCGATGGGTAACAATCCGACCCTCTATACGCCTGGTTTCGAGCCAATAATGCATCTTGACCAGCACACTTTCGCCGACACGGTCTTCGGTCAAGATCACGCCTTCCTGGTCGAATTTTACGCCGGATTGGTAAGTGCACAATCTTCAGTTCCGTTCCACCTCTTAACATATCCATTCTCTGCGCTACAAAAACCGAGCCTCGTACCGACTTTGACGACCCTTCTTTCGAAGTCCGTCCTTTGTGTCATCCCAGCAGCCCGTAGAAAATCGAATCTTCTGTTGGCTTTTTTGTTCCTCCATTTTTGCCTTTTGATAAGTGCATAGATGATGCTGAATCAGGAGATCATATCACTCATGAAGCGTAACGATCCGGGTTTGTTCTCCCTTTTTAAAGGTACCGAGCTTCGCTCCAAGTGTGCAAATTGAACAAACTTTATGTGCCACTTCCTGGAAAAAGTTATCTAACTACAATCACTTGTTAACAGTCTCAAGAATTCTGCGAGTTTCGTGTCCTTGAGAGTTGGACATCATCTCATTGGTCGTATATTCCATTTTGGACCGATCACATAAACATCGGATATCTCTTGGACGATGTTTCTAGGTCAACAACCACAACAGAGCCACATTCTCAACCTGTTCAGGTGTGGACATTGTCGAGCTTTCGTGCCGTTCTTTCGACAATTCGCGAATTTTGTCCGCGAATGGAACTCAGTGGTTACGGTGGCGGTGATCAACTGTGCAGACACGTTCAACGCTCAAACGTGTCGTGATAATGGCATCACTTACTACCCAATGATCAAGGTAATCCTCATGTGTTTATTGATGCTGATGTTTGTGGTTGCACGCGTCTTGATCCACTAACTTGCGAAGTATCGCTCCAAGCAGGGCGCTGACGTCATCATTCAGCTAGGTTAAAATCACTTATTCATGAGCTCTTCAGCGTCTCAGTATAGTTCTATTTCTGTTCAGAAGAGTTTGCTGTTATGTGCTACAGCACAGGAAAAATGTTTCAAGTATGAGATCACGATTCGGCCACTTAATTCAAGTGTGATTCATTAAGCTTTCGTTTTATAAACTCTCAAAAGCTTCAGTTCATCATAATCTGAAAGTCAGAGATTATGAGCAGTTTAGAGTAAGCCTACTTCTTTCACTAGTAGAAGCAATCTTTGGTTCTATGGTATAGGAATTTTCTCCTGCAGTCCATATCTCGAGGTCTGATCAGGCTTGTCACTGGAGATGACGTGGTGACTGCCGCACTTGATAGAAATTTGTTGGATGAGCTACTTCTGATGTGCCTTACTGATATCCAGTGGGATGTGTTAAAAACAACTGATTCACATGACTTCTATCTAATGCGGCGACGGCCACGTCAAGTCCGTAGACCCACCCGATCAGGCGGTCAGATATGAACTATAAGTACACCCCACTATTCACCTCACCTACAATAAATTAAGGATAGAGCAAGCTATTTTTTGTTCGGCTATCCAGATCTTGAAGTAGCTAAACATGCTGTAGTGGGGAATACCCTCATAATAGCTCGTTATGTCACTTGTGAGCCAGCGAAACAACAAGCCGAAAATCCTTGAGCTATGTAGTGTTTGGATTCTTGAGGTGAAGTACTTGAAGTGTGTCGCTGCAATGTAATACAGCCGCCAATTGGTATTCCTGAGTGAAGTTGACGAACTGCGAACAAGCATTTTTTTCTTCTTGAGTTGAACTCATCAATCTACGATTAATGGGGTAGTTGGCTGACCTACAAATTTGTAGCATTCCTCACCAATCATTGGCCGCGGAGAAGATGTACTCGTAATGTTTTCGTGTCTGAAATTAGCCCTACAAACAATCTCATAGAACACTAGCCATGATGGCGATCTCATTAAGTGAGTACGAGCAACCTGCAAAGTACGAAAAATGATTGGGAATTCACGTCGGGGTTTGAGCTTTATGAGCTCATCAGTCGTCATTTCATCATGTCGGATTCACACATACAGTAATTCGTACGCCATAAACACCTGAGCGAACCTTATGCGGTAGCGTCAACGACTCAT